GACAGGCACAGCTTTTGTTTTATCCAGCTGTATTTACTCAGTGCAACTTATAACATCCAAGTGAAAGATATAACACCAACATGTCATAAAAAAATAAAAAAATAAATAAATAAAAAAACGAAATCACTGAGTTGGAAAAAGGATCACCCCCTCCTAAAAATGACTTGTCAACTCAATCAGGTGTAGCTAATCACCTTCTCAATGGCACACAAAGCCATTTGACTTTCAACTGTGATCAGCTCTGGTCATTTTGATTATCTGGAGTGTTTCAGGCCTTGGTAGTGCAACTGAAGCAAGCAATTAACGATGGGTGGCAAGGCACTGCCAAAATATATCCGGGATAAAGTTGTGGATAGGCACAAGTCAGGAGATGGATACAAAAACATTTCAAAGGCTTTATCAATGCCAAGAAGCACAGTCTATTATTAAGAAGTGGAATTATTGGAAGGTATTTGGTACAGCACAGACCCTCCCTGGATCAGGACGTTGCTCCAAACTGGATGAAAGAGCCAGGAGGTAACTGGCCAGAGAGGCTACCAAGAGGTCTACAGCAACTCTGAAGCAGCTGCAGGAATTTATGACTGAGTGGTCATTTTTGTGCATGGACAACAATATCACAAATACTCCACAAATGTGGGTTGTATGGGAGGGTTGCAAGAAAAAAGACACTCCTCAAGAAAGGCCACATGACTAGCTTTGCCAAAACGCACCTTGAAGATTCTGAGGCAGATGAGACTAAAACTGAATTATTTGGCCTCAACACCAAACAATATGCCTAGTCAGAGCCCAGACTTAAACCCCATTGAAAATCTGTGGAATGACTTGAAGACTGCAGTCCAAATGGTCACCATCAAATTGAACTGAACTTGAGCAGTTCTGCAAAGAGTGGGCAAATATTGCAAAGTCTAGATGTGCAAAGTTAGTAGAGACAGAGACAGAGACAGATCCCAACAGACTAAAGACTGTAATTAAAGCAAAAGGTGGTTCAACCAAATACTGACACAATTAAGGGGGTGCTCCTTTTTTTCAACTCAGTGATTTTTTTTTTTCCTGACATGTTGGTTTTATATCTTTCACTAGGATGTTATAAGATGCAATGAGTAAATACAGCTGGATAAAACAAAAACTGTGTCCATCTTCTATTCAGGCTGCAAAGCAACAAAATGTAATTCACGAGGTCGCACGTACATATAATTGGATTGAGTAAATAGTAAGCATTTTTGGCATGCTGTCCTGAGGGAGGGCTCTGAGCTCGGAATATAGCCCGAATCCAGCGAACTCCCCCAATCCCTAGTATGGGATGAGAATAGTTTAATAGAGAGGAGTTGGGGTGGAGGAGGGATGCCGGAAAACTGTCGTGGGACAGAGGTAAATTGGCTATATATAGACCTATATATGTATTGTGCTAGTGATACGTATTGGCGAGTTCCACCTGTGCCGAATTGGTTGATTATCTAATCATGAACCTTGTTAGTTAAACATCATTTATTTTACAGGGGGTGATTCTTTACAATACCCACTGTATATGAGTGGAGAGCCCCTCTCTGCTCGAAGTGCTCTTTGCCCCAGATCCACTCCATGTTTTCCAGTCATGCTCCATACTCACCGGTAAGAGAAACCCCGGTCCGAGTGATCATGAGGCAACAGAAAACTGCAAAAGATTTGACTTTTAACAACCCGCTCCTCCTCGCTACAGGAATAAAATATACAGCTCTGCTTCCATTGCAAGGGATAAAACGCCAGTGCTCTGATTAAAAAAAACAAAAAACGGCTCTTCACTTCAGGCGAATCTGCTTCCTCTCAGCACCGCACACATTGAACACTGACAAGCGGACTGATAAAAACAGTGAAACATCCCAGTGCTGCATCCGAAACTGAAGGCAGTTACCTGGCTGTCCAGTCATTCACTTATCAGGCGGCGTTTTGTGTATAAAAGCAACGCTTACGGAACATGGTTTCAGAAATGCTTCCAAAGCACCATGTAATAGTCAAAAACAAGTGAGCTGTAGAGAAAACCAAAGTAGTAGGCACAGGACTTTTTCTAGGTATATGGTAGGTATCAGTGCTGATCCTAGACTTCTGGGGGACAAAACTGTGTCGGCGGGGGCGGTGGAGTGGGGTATGAGTGGTTATGAACGAATGAATGAAACGCATTTGTTCGTGTTTCACTCCGTCTCGAATCGCGCTCGCGGAAAGCGCTTGAGAAACAGTGTCTCTTCCGTGGCCTTTCAACTCGTTTTTTTAATCTTGAGCAAGACTGTACATTCACATTACATGATTTGACTGATGTTTATGTAGAAAGGGCGACAGCGCACCGCATTAAAAGAAATTATCATTCATGTTTTCATAACCGCTGGCCAAATTCAAAAACTAAACTAAAATTAAATCATCTTTGAGAGCGAGGGGGCCCCCTGGTGTTTCGGGGCCCTACGCAGCTTGCCTATTTTGCGTATAGGGAGGATCGACTCTGGTAGGTATAGATATATACACATTCACATACGCAATCACACTTGCATATCACATGAAATAAAGGTACAAAAGCTGTCACTGGGGCGGTACCTTTTTAAAAGGCTAATTAATATGTACTGTACTGTAAAATAATATGTACTCTGTACACACACACTTGGAGTCTTGTTTGAAATGATTTAGTGAAATTAAATGATTTAATCCAATATATTCATTTTATGGTAATAATACTTTAATTCAATAAATACATTTTATGGTAATAATACTTTATCTTAAATTGGACAGGTGACGAGAACTAAAATATTTTTCATCGTTTCAAATTTTAGATAAAGTTTAGGTTTGTCAGCTTGCCTTTCTTAAATAGCTTGAAAAAAAAAGAGTAAGTTCTTGAACCCACATCTCAGGAACGCTGAATCATCTTGACGAGGTTTTCATTTGGTCCCTCTCTGCACACTTTGGCCCCTTGGTGCCCACCCTAGAATCCTACAATCGCCACGGCACCTTGATACGCTGACTGACATCAGCACCTCCCCTCAGTGCAACGTTTCCCTGATGAGCGATGCTCCTGTAGCACACTAACAGAGACTTGTCCATTTTGTCAGCCACTTTAACTAGAGACAATAAGTAGCGCGTAACCACTGTTTTCTCAGAGTTTGTGGGGACTGAGGCTCCCGAGGCATGCTTCACGGTTGGCCGACAGTGTTGTGGTCCCTTTGTGAGTCTCTCCACAGTGCTCTCCCCTGGCTGAGGTTCGCTGCAGCTGTGGCTTCTCAATAGGGCTTATTGTAGACGCGCGGAGTGTGAGCGAGCAGCGCAGTGATTGAGCGGAACGGAGGGAAAGACGCCAGTAGTGCAGGGATGCTCCTGAATATGTTTCCTTCACTCATTCGGGAAGAGCGCGTCTAGAGCGGCTGCGACGTGACGGAATCCCTCTGCATTTTCACAAGAACATTCACAATTTATAAACGCGAAGGACCAGGAGGAAAAGGTGAGTCTGATTTATGCAGTATTTGCTGAGGTGCAATACCGTACGGACTGAGTGTATTTGCGGTGCCCGTTGACACATTAGGAAGCTACACAATCATATTATAGTTTTTACAATCTAAAAGTTGAGAAATGGCAATACTATTGTGACATTATTTGTTATTGTTTTTATGTAGGCTACTTCAGATTTTTCTTACTTTAATTTAACATAGGCTACTTGCATTAAAGTATAGCATAAGGGAATATATATAAGGGAAAGAGAAATATGAAATTAAAAAAATGAACGAAACCTTTTTAAATTTAATATAACATTAATAAATATGTTCAGGCGCTATGCACTTTCAAATATTGTCGAACAGTGTGGTCAGCATTAATATCTGAAAGTTTCTCTCACTGCCTGTGATGTTTTAATATTCAGCGCTTTTCCCTCAGGAGCGTCTGTGATGTTCAAAAGTTAAGGTCTGGCAGTCAGCATATTAATCGAGTTGCAACGAAGTACAATTTCTCAGTCCTAAGAGCAATACTTGGGACCTCGCCAGGGACTCGCATTTGTGATGCAAATACTGTCGTCTGTAGTGTGACTGTGAAAGACTTTTTGATGTGAAAGTAACTCGGTGTGAGTTAGAGGTTTTTATTTTGTGTGAGTAGTGTTATAGCAAAACAAGAGCGGATATCACAAGTACAGAGGTGCAGATTTTCCTCACACCTCCGTATCGATATCAAATACCTCCCTGTCAGGACGCCACTGCAATGCCAACAACAGCACGGAGTCTCGTAGTGGAATCTTCGCTTGTAATGTCAAGCTGACGGCCGCTAGGTGGTGCGTTGAGTGAACCGTGAGGCCAACTTGATGTGGCTTAGATCCAGAAATTAATTGTGGTTTTGGGTGTGTTTTTTTCGTTGTGAAGTAATTTTCAGTATTATTTGTAGAATATGTTTAGCTGTTCTTGTGTTGTTGCTTAATTGTTACTATTGCTTATTTCCTGACTTTACATCTGGTTGTAGTCTGTTAGCACTTTAGTTTGTGTCCATGCATAAACTGGGCTGTCGTCAGGGAGGGTTGACCAAGAATGTTGTCCTGAATATGTGGGGTTCACAGTAAGATTTTATATGGTGTAGACTATGGCTGTCTTGTTATTTTTTTTTGGGCCCCTAGGAAAGATTATGAAAATGGGACTCAATGTTGTAAAAATGGTATGAGATTGATGTCGTTTTGCCAAGTCATGCTATACACTGAAAAAAAAAAAAAATTGGTGTACAAACAATTTTCACTTCACAGTAAATTACAAAGAAACAGCAAGTAAGACATTAAATTAAACATGATATTTTGAAGTAGAAAGACTAAAACAGTATTTCTTGTAAAATGTACTTTAGGAATCTTTGTTTTAGTTACAACTTTGAAAAATATTCTTTTACAGATAGATCAGATAAGAAGTACAGTATGCCTTGTGTCGGAAATGTATAATCTGCAGATTTTTCTGGGACCACCTCATGGGGCGCCCACCCATGAATATTTTTTCCCAGGCCTTTTGAATTTAAGTGACAGCTTTGTGCATAAACAGAAAGAACTTATTACAAAAATATTTTATGAAAAGGATTTTTTTTTGCCAAGCATATAATGAAACTGCAACAAAATAGTATTTTAATATATTATAAATGTATTCTTTATTAGACTTTTCATCTTGCCTGCTCATAAGCAATCATATCCAGCCCAGATCTTGTCGTAGTCACCCTCAAGAGTCTGCACAGCGAAGGGCAGCCATAATAAGAAGGCCATATGCTACCAGTCCGCACTGTGCTGTTTGATGTCCAGATGCTAGGAGCCTTGCTTTGCTCTGTGTTGGAGCATACTGTCCCTGGTGAGTGCCACAATCGCTCTTGCACCACAGGGGGGCTATGACTAAAGAGTGTGCTGAGATGGGTTTTTGGAGCTGAATCTCTGGCTGTGGCTGTGGGCGCTCTCTCACAGGGCGGTCTGAGCTGAAGCCTCAGCTCTTCTCATCAGATGGCATGGGGGGCTAATGAGACTTCATCATCCGGTCCCAGACCATTTGGGCGATCTGTGCTGAACACAAAGTCCGGGGCCTCAGCCAAGCCCGACAACGAGCAGATTCGGGCAGGGAAAAATTGTTAGTGGGGGGCTGGAAAGAGAAGAGGAACAAATATAGTACAGTCATAGCATGGCATATAGTTGCCTTGTAATGTACAGTAAATTGGTTTTTAGTCATGATCCATTTTTTGATTAGTCTAAAATAATTGGTGAAAAATCTAATGAAACCAAAAATGGGTTTGTGAAGGATCCCAATGCAAAACACACATAGATTTGAATGTTTAACAGTCAAGTGACATTTTTTTTTATGTATAGTGCCAATACAGATTGTTTCAAAGCAGCTTCACATTAATAAACAGGACAATAACAGTGTTAATGTTGTAAAATTAATCAATTATGAAACAAATTCAATTTCAGCTGTAAAATAGCTCTACAGAGGATGATAATAAAAACTCCATTCATGTTCTCCATAGGGAAACAGATTTTGAATCATACATAACCTTTAAAGAGCTCCAAGGTTGTTAATCAATGGTATATGCTTTTGTGGAAACCATCTATTTGCATTATTTCAACTTAAATAATCATGTTTAACAGTGAAATTCATGGAGAATAACTACATTACACATGGTGCTGTACAGAAAATTCCACCAATCAGAGAGTCGTGTAAAGCAAATTGTTTCAAAAGAGCTCTGCAGGGAACACCTACTCCCATGAAGTACTACGAATGACCTAATTGAGTTCCCGAAATACTTAAATACTTGTATATCTATGCATATTTTGCAATAAACTAAAAATATATTGTTTCTATAGATATGATCAGCAACTTTAAATGAATCGTTTTATATTTCTCCATTCTTTTTAATTTGATTGTAATTCGCAATAATTAACAATGATTGTAGTTTTTCCCTCACTAACTGTTACTTACACAGTCTTGTACCTCTATATTTTTCTCTGATTTTCAAATGGGACTCTACGGGAAAAAATTAATGGGAAGGATACAAACAGGACAAACGCTGCTAAAAAATTGGGCAGGCACTAATGCACTCTATAGTGTCATTATTTAACTTAATTTAATTCAGGGTTGTTTCAATTCAGTTCAATAACTGTGTTGGTGTTGCAAAGTTCTTCAGTTATAAATCGAGTTAAATTCAGCTATAACAAGCTCTACAGAAGGCAATAGTGTCATTATATAGCTCATGTCAGTTCAATGTTGATTCAATTCAGTTCATTAGCTGTGTCGATGTTTCAAAGGATCTAACTAAGACTTTGACATGATGCCCTCACATTAATTTCTGAAAAATCAGATATAGTCTGGGACCTAAGCAATTTGGGCAATTTTGCGAAATGTAAACATGTCCTGAGGTATTGCTTCAGACGCACAACATTAAAAAAAAATCCCAGGGCTTGTTTCCTATGTCCTTGTTTGCTGTGTTTTAATGCAAGCTTGATAAATGATCCATATCACCTTCCAGCTCTCTTTATTAGCCTCCGCTACGCTATAAGCGTTCCAGACTCGAAGTTCTTTTTATTTCGCAGTGGTGTCATGTGGCACTTCAATGAAACTATTCGAGGTCGGCGATAACTGAGACGTGTAGCGGATTATTTTGCCATAACTGTTTTCTTGATCCCGTCAGCCATTTTTGAAAACTTTTGTTGAATCTACTCAGTCAGACACATAGAGATCTAATCAGTCACTAAGCACTTGTAATTCTCCTATAAAGTGAAGCTTACAATAGAGATTACAGGCTTTAGATGAGACTTTTCCCCACTGAGGGGTCCTGGCACTGTGGTCTTCTGAAGCAAAGCGCAAGACGTTCTGTTCTCCTCCAGCAGCGCTGGTGCTTTTGATCTTGGAGGGAATACAAGGAGGGAATGGATTCCCTGAGGGATGCTGTGTGATTTACTTTTCTGTTCACCTTCAGAGTCCTAGCTTCAAATATGCTATTATTTAGTACAGTTAGGCATCTGACACATATAGCTTTAATGTCTCAGATATGTTTAACACCTTTTATTTAAACCCTATATTACCATCAACACTTTTTTAATAATGTTAACGCTTTAACACTTTCAAATAGAGTCATTGTTTGAAGCCCATCTGAATTGCATAAAATATCATAATAAATCTTATGCACATGTTGCGATAATTGCAAGGTTTAAATAGCCATGGACTCTAAACACAATATGGGAGTTGTTCTGTCTGTAAAGCATAGGTCAGATCTCATCTTTTCTCGGACAATGAAGGATTTCCGTGGAGATTTCGACATCCTCTTTAACATCAAAATAAGCTGTTGGGGCGTGAATCCTGCTGCTGTGGGTTTGAACTACTGGAAGGACAGATTTCTCTAGAGAACGTATATGTGCTCTACCCAAATCCCTTTTGAACTATTTTTTCCAGACTTGTAAGTGTTTGACTTTAAAAGAATGTTAGAAACACCTAAAAGGCTCTTTCGGACCGAGAAGCTCCAGGGACCCCTTAGGAGAAATTTGTGCCTGGAATTTTGTCACTTCAACTTAGAGTGCACACTTTTAAATTGTAGTTCTCCATTGCAATTTGGAGCATGAGGGTTTTTTATACACTATAAAAATCCAGTGTCACTTACATAACACACTTTTACGGTGTGGTGAGGCTTTGTAGTTCTTAGTAGCAGCTCTTAAGCTAGAGGCTGTAGGATCAAACCCCAGATGGGGCCATTCACGAGCCACTGACATTGTGCTCTTGAGCAAAGTACTTAACCAACCCCAGTGTGAGTTTCAGACAGTGCAAAAGTACCGTAAGTAACCTTGGATTGGAAAGTGACTCGTTAATGAAGAATAATTTAACAATGTAGCATACTTGTGATATACTGTGAAGCTGTGGGTCAATGACATGATGATTTTTTTTTTCTTTGAAAAATGAAATTCATACATATAATGACCTAATACACAACACCACTTCTATGAATTGTCAAACTGAAACACACACACACACACAGGTTTGTTTTTGTGAATTGTGGGGACATTCCATAGGCAAAATGGGTTTTATACTGTACAAACCGTATTTTCTATTGCCCTACACCAACCCTACACCTAAACCTACCCCTTACAGGAAACTTTCTGCATTTTTAGATTAAAAAAAAAAACTAATTCTGAATGATTTATAAGCCTTTTGAAATATAGGGACACTCAAAATGTCCTCATACACTCTTAAAAATAAAGGTGCTTCAAACGGTTCTTCAAGCGATGCCATAGAAGAACCATTTTTGGTTCCACAAAGAACCATTCAGTCAAAGGTTCTTTAAAGAACCATCTCTTGCTTATCTTTTTATAATCTGAAGAACCTTCTTTCACCACAAAGAACCATTTGTGAAACAGAAAGGTTCTTCAGATGTTAAAAGTTCTTTATGGAACCATTTAGACAAAAAGGTTCTTCTATGGCATCGTGAAGCACCTTTATTTTTAAGAGTGTAAATCACCTTCTCATTGTAATACCTATGTCATACCCAGGGCCGCATTAAGACCTCACTGGGCCCTGGGGCTATGACTTACTGCAGGGTCCCCCATCACAATAATGATATATATAGCTTAAAATAGGGTTTTTATCCAATCAACATTTTTGATGCATTGCAATTTCATAATTCTTGTTACCAATTCCAATATCACAAAAAAAATAAATAAAATACTAGCCTACGTAAAAACAAACTTACTGAAGACAAGTAAACAGTCATGAATTACAATAGAACTAAGAAATGGACCTACAAAAACTTAAAGCATAAAATAAATAGACTACAAATAGACTGAATAGTCTTCACGGTATAAATTCAATACACATTATTTTACAAAAGCGATTCGGTCAAGGACAGTGAGTGATTTTCTTTCTAATGTTTAATTTACATTATTGACACAAATAGCAACAGCAGCTATATTAGGCTGCTTTGGAGGAATAGTTCACCCAAAAATTAAAGTTATGTTGTTGTTGTTCTAAACCTGTTGGATGCAAACGTATATATTTGGAACAATACTGGTAATCAAACAGTGTCTATTCCCCCATGACTTCCATAGTATGAAAAAAAAAACACTATTGGCTTCAACAGGGACCAGACACTTTCTGGTGGTTACGAATATTCTTCAAAATATCTTCTTTTATGTTGAGGAGAACAAAGAAATTCATACAGGTTCAGAACAACTTGAAACTGAGTAAATTATGATTTTAATTTTTGGGTGAACTATATCCCTTTAAAATCTCATCATATAATGCCAGTATCTTATAATAGCCAACTAGTGCACATGCTTTATCTTTAACTATTAATGTTAATTTAAGACACAAATGACTGTGTTGATGAGGCGACAGGCATTTTGACACATAACTATGTGTATTCAAACGTTTAAACACAAGGCGCAAAAAATAACTCTTAGTTTAGTCAGGCGCTGTACGAGCAAGTGCGCTCCGCGAGTATCAGAAACCGTCATAACACGCGCATTTGCCAAAATGAATTCTGCCACTGCTTAATGTCCCTGAACAGTTAAATACGTTTTTAAACCACAGCACTTCAAATGCGTTTAAATTAAATGTTAAAAGCTTACATCATGACGCGCAAAATGAATTTCTCAACCCATAAGCGAATATAGGCCTATAGAGTTATTTCAAACACAAAAAGCAATATACATCTATCAAGTTAATAATCAAACTAACCTAAAATCTGTGGGGATGGTGACGCTGTGTTTTTATCTGTTCCATGTATCCGGTCTATTTGCGGTTTCACAACTCCCTCTCCATCATCAGCTTTAGTAAAAGAAACTAGCTGTGGATTTTAGTGACTCACTCATTTTTTCCCCTCTCTCCTAATTTTTTTCTCTCACAATTTTTTTTTTAGAATAGTTGACATTTTTAATTTGTAACACATTAACCTCGAAACCTTTTCAGCTTTCTCTTTCTGCAAACTGTATGGTGTAGCGATACGAGGAGAGCACCCAAAATACTATCAAACACTCCAACGCAGCTTCATTCTATGCGAAAGATGGATAAAAAGGCGCAGAGCAAACAAAAACCTCGAAAAATGATATGCGACCCGCCAAATGCTGGCTGAATCACAGAGATGCCGATTTGCACGAGACTAATATTATAACAGGACCTCGGTGTTCGGCGAAATATGGTAGGTCATTTGCGGGGGAATTTTTACTTTACAAATTACAGACATGGCCGATTCGCACGGGATTAAGATCACAGACAACCTCCGCAATTATTACAAATGACTGGAGGTCACCAGGTAATACTAATCCCGTGCGAATAGGGCTAACTCGTGTTTTCCCCTCTCTCCTCATTTTTTTTTAGAATAGTTGACATTTTTACTTATCGAAGATTGTTCTTTGCATGACCGTTTCTAGATTACACCAGAATGAAGTGAAGAGAGGTGAATGCAGACATTAGGCGCAGCGATCACCTGACCTGATAGATAGGCTACGTGCACAGTTCGTTCAAAAGTAAAATATATAATAAATACATTTGATTGGTAAACAAAATTCAAATGTGACGTTTTAATCTCTAATGGTAATGCATGGAATTTATGGAAAAACTCCTAAATAATAACTAAACTATAGTTATTACTATAGTTATAAGCCACTAACTATAATTAACTAAATAATAGCGCTAAAAAGGTGAGGTACGTGGTGGGGCTTTGGCGATCGGTGCTACCGATGTCCGTCAATCTACTCCGGGACTTCAGCCCCGCCTAGCCCAATGGTTAATGCGGCCCTGGTCATACCCATGTCATTATACAAATTTGTGTCCTCATAAATCACAAAAATGCGCGCGCACACACACACACACACACACACACACACACATATGTAGTTCAGACTATAAAATCTTTCACCTTAATATGTATATATATATAGAGATTTTTATATATTAAAATATTTTTCTGAAAATGACTAAGATATGATTAAGAAGATATGTTATTACAATTTACTTGATGGTTAGACCACGACATTATTATTAGGCCTAGTCTTTACAACTTTTTTCTTGAAAATGGTCTAAACGTTTTTCAAAACCATATAAAACCAACATGTGTTTTAAACTGGATTTTTTGGGGGACATTTTTTTTTTACATTGACCCATATGCTGTCTTGCATAAGCTGAGTATGATAATGGAGCTACTCTTTCCATTGTTGGGACTTGAGATGGGAGATATTTGCTTTATTTCTCCAAACCTTTGCATTGGAGCTCTATCCCTCTCCCTCTGTCGGTTTCCCCCTCCCTCCTTGGTTCCCTTTAGTCCTAAAGATTAATGTGCTCCAGTTTCAGCAGTGCTGTCAAATACCCATCCAAAGGAAAGAGCCGCATGTCCGTTTTGCTCACCTGTAGCGCTCTGCCTGCACCTGCATCTCAGACTGCAACCTCTGAAATGCCAAAAGTCATGTTGTCATAATCTGGGGTTCAAATGTGAAGTGGTATTATAAAAATGACAGTAAATCAAGCCTGCATCTGTGCTGACAGACTCTCTTTTTGTATATTTCTTGGACTTGTTTCTCTCTCTCTGATTTTCTTCAACCTCTCCCCCTGATGTCTGTTCTCACCACAGGTTTGAGAGCTTCAGCTACAATCATCGTTCATTCCTGTGGTCTCCCCCATCAATCACCAGTCAGACGGTCTGCTCTATCCTGCTACCCACGCCAGTGCTGAGGGTGGTGCACAGTTTCCCAGGAGCCACCTCTTAGCCTCAAGATCTTTGGTGCCTCTTCAATACGGAGGAGTGTATTTTTTATTTCCTTCTTTTTTTTTTTTTTACTCTCATCCTTTCATCCAAATAATGCAGATCGGCTCTGCAGTGTGGACTGGACTGACTGTAATGACTATGTTGCTGTTAGCCCAGTGGGACATGGGCTGCTGGGGGATGACTCTGAACTCTATCCCACTTCGTCTGGCTTCCCTCAGGCCCCTCAGAACTAGTGTGGGTGTATCTCTTCAAAGACACAAGCGCAACTGGGTGTGGAACCAATTCTTCGTCCTGGAGGAGTACACAGGAGATGACCCTCTTTATGTTGGCAAGGTAAAGCTAAATTTCTCCGATATTTTAAATGTATCAAGTGCACTGAGGTCATTTATAATGGCAAATAGGGCTGAGTGATATCATTTAATTATTATTCTCTTTCTTTTTTGAATTCATTAAGTGAAAAAATGGAAACACATAAATGTAGGAATTATTAAAAGGCTGAGAAATATACTAAAACATTGAGTTGATTTCAACTCAATATTGTAATACTGTAATATTTTTCATCCTTTGTTGATATTTATTTCACCCAGACCTAATGACATGTACATTTTCTGTACTAAAACCTTGTTTGATGTGCTTGTTGTCATGATGGTGTTACATCTCATTCGACCACTTTTGGTCAGATACAGTGTGGTCACATTTTCGATCGCCTCACCTCTGAATGTAGTTGAAGTGACACAATCTTAAAATGTTTTGGACTTTCTTTTCACTTGCATTTAGCACTGTCTTTTTTCAAACAAATCACCTGAAATTAATCTTAATAGGTGTAAACGGGGTCTTACATCTCATCCAGTGGCTGCCTGTTAACTGAGCTGACATGTTTATTTAGATAATGTACTTGGGGCGCCCAGAAGCCACTAGACCTGTCCAGTCGCTCAGACTTATTTCTCTGGAGTGTCTGGCAAAATATTGTGCCTCAGCCGCACATGATTGCCGTTTCTGTTAAACATGTGATGCTGTTTAAACATGACTATGACCAAGTGTATGCTATTGTGCATACACTTGGCATACAGGGACCTTGCTAATAATTTTCATTTTAAAGAAGTCATATCATAAGGAATCCATTTATGCTTGATCTTTTGATATATGTGCTATGAATATAAAGTTTAAACACTTTTGATTGTCACATTTTCTGAACTGATGTTTTGAAATAGCAGTGATGTATCAGCCAATTAGAAAGGGTTCCTTCTCATTAATGCCAAGAGAAATCACAGAAAACCTCACATGCCTCATGTTTCTTCCATGATGAGGTTTAGTAATACTTTGTGAAAACGTGTCAATCAAACGCTTAATGAAGTGCGTGTGAAGAACAGATGCTCTGCCTGCATATTTCCTATGAGAATGTTTGAATCAGTAATATAACATTACTCTAAGGTAGGGGTGTGCGATAACACGATTTTTGATCGTGGACTATTAAAACGTCTCAAAGATCTGCTTTTGAAGAAATATCATGGTATCGTGCTACAGCACACATTCTATCAGTTGCAGTTCTGGTGCCTCCGTCTCAATAATACAACGTGACATACATTCCCATCAAACGTTAACTCAGTGGTAGAGTTACACTCACAGGACACTGCACTTATTCGCAGTCATAAAAGTGCATTATTTGCATGTGCTTTAAAGCCTTGCCGGTTAAACATTTCATTCGCGTGCTGTTCTGATGTGCACTTTTTCTGAGTGCGCACACAGCGCTAAAAAGCCTGTCAAACAGCGCCTGATTGTTTATGTCGAAAGTGAAAGTAAACAGTTGATAGTAAAACGGATGTGTGCCTGTATATTAGATGCTTGCAGCTCTTAACTTGACAGCAGACTAATTGTAGTAAACATGCTGCCACTTGTCAAAGGGATAGTTCACCCAAAAATGAAAATTCTGTCATTATTTACTCACTCTCATGTGGTCCCAAACCTGTATTAATTTCTTTCTTGCGCTGAACACAAAAGAAGATATTTTGAAGAATGTGGGTAAACAAACAGTTGCTGGTCTTATCTTTGATAGTAGGAAAAAAACACTAGGAAAGTCACTGCGGACCAGCTATTTTGTTACCCACATTTTTCAAAATAACTTTTATGTTCAGCAGAATGAAGGAATTCATTCAGATTTAAAAGAACTTGAGAGTGAGTAAATGATGACAGAATTTTCATTTTTGGGTGAACTCTTTAATGTTAATAAAACAACAAAACACAAAGAGAAAAATCACTCACTGCTCTTGACTGAAGAACTTTAATACAGTTGCTTTAATAAGAATCAATGTATAATTTATACAGTGAAGTGTATTATTTTTTAAATTTGTTCATTCAATTTCTTGAATGCTACTGCTAAATACACCTACTCTCCCTGAAAAATAAAGCACTGTTTGTTTTATTTGTATATAATGTGTAACATGTATCTTTGTTCTTGTATTTTAATAACAAAGATAAAATAATGACGATTTTTATCTTCACCCACTTTGGCCTAAATGTCTGCCATTCTTTTTTATTTTATATTTTGTTACCTTGTAAGGCTTTGTTTTTAAAATAGTTTTAATTAGTTTAGTTTAGTTAGGGAAATTAGTTTGGCTGTACTGCTCAGACAACTTGCAAAATAGTAAAACTTAGATGACAAAGAATCGTGATAAAATCGTGAATCATGATTTTACTGAAAAAAAAAAAAAGTGATATGATATTTTTGCCATATCGCCCACCCTTATTCTCAGGGTATTTTAAAAGCTTTGTCTGATATTCATTTTCAGACACTTTAAATGAAAGCACTGACGAATGGAGGTTGACGTATGCTGTTCAATCAGTCTGGGCTTTTAAAGTGTTTTAGTCATCAGTTTTCCTCACATTAATGTCAGCGTGCAAATGAACATGTATAGCTTGTGAATATCTGATGCATTGTTTGATCAAAACACTCTGGCATGTGGATGATCATGTGTTTAATAAATGCCTCATGTAGTGTATGATCAGACCTCTTTGATGCAATGTGGATTTTATAGTTATACTCCGAGCTACAGTAAATGAGCCACACAAAGAGGAAAAAAGCATTGTCACAAAAGGGAGCATCTTTTCTTTTATGTATTGGCTCCAGTCTACTAGCAATGTGATTGCTTAATACGCACAGGCTTGTAAGTAGTTAGCTCGATGTTAAACACAAAAACAGTCAAACACTTTCCCATTTTAAAGATAATGAGCCAGATACTCAAGCATGCCACCTGCTCTACTATCCTTGGCTTTTACAATACATTATCTCTCAGCCTCTACATCACACACACACACACACACACACACACACACACACACACCTCTACCATCACACACTCAAACCCTGGCAGCCAGGTTGAATCTTATTAGATTTAGGCTCATCTCCAATTCACTCTAGCCGGAGGGATCCGGGCAAAAGAGAAGTGACTGAACACAAATGTTTCCCCCGCACTGAATGATGATCAGTGGAGTATTGTACAGTATGGGGTGGCCTATCTCTCTACCTTCCCATAGGAAAGAGAAGCCACAAATGAAATCTCTCTAAGCTCTCAGATGTTTCTCCTGGACTGTAAAGAGATCTTTACTTTGGTTTTCTGCTTCTCAGATTAATTTCAGAGAAAAAGGCCCTAATTTTATAACTCTATACTCTTGTTATATGTCAACATCTGACAGATTTGTGACTTCCTTTAATTCCTTTTTATTTTAAGGAATTCTAGGAGAAATGTCTGAGACAATGTTCATTAGGCAGAACTGAGAACTCCATTAAGAGCAAACTCTGAGCAATAACATTTTTCTCTTGGTTTCTCTTTTAAATTTCTTTATCTTTCACGTCTCAAGTGCTGAATGTATTTTGTATGATGGTCATTGGCTGACTGCTTGTTCTCCTTTCTTGGCTTTTATGTAGACATCCATCCTTTGATCACGAGTGAGCATGAAAGATAGTCTTATTCATCAGGATAAGGGTAGCATAATATAGACATAAAAGACAGGGTCCTCACAAACAACTTACCATGAGATATTATATTGTTTTCATATTCTCTTTCTTTTTATGCCTATGCCCCTTTTCATGGTATCAACAGCAAAACACTAAAGATGTGAGTAGTGGTTGACCGAGATGGGTGTTTTCATGACTGATACTGATATCCAGGGGGCAGGGAAGCTGATATGTTGATTTGTATTTACATATTTTATGTTAATACATATTTTATTACATTTTTAATTATTTTAAATTAATTAAAATAATTTATTTAAATTATTTAATTTTTTTTATTATTTTAAAATGTTATTAAAATATTAAAATAGCTGATTAAGCTCCTATTTTGCATAATTCAATTTTAAACTATTTTAATGTAACTTAAAATTGACAAAAATAAATAAAATCTATATTCTTACATCTCAAAATGGCCAAATATCAGGTAATTAGCTCTCTTTGGGCAATGCATACAGTACCGTTCAAAAGTTAGGAGTCAGTATGATTTTTTTTTTTTTTTTTTTTTTTTAAAAAAAAAAAAAAAAAAAAAACTCTAGCTTTCTATTCTACATCAAAAGTGACAGTAAATAAATTTCTAGGATTACATGCTGATTTTTTTTTTTTTTTCAAAAACATTAATACATTTTTATTGAGGCCAAACATTTTAACAGTAGTTTATGAACACTGCCCCGCTTCTCTACAATTACCACTGGACATGATTGAATAGCTGTCATATTCTTGAGGTTTTTGCTAGCCAAAGTCAAGTTTTGAGGCAAGTAGAAGAGCGGGAGATGAAGTTTGGAACCCAAAATCTTTTATTTATCTTCAATACACAAGTTTCATGCATATTGCAAAAACATATCATGAGAACGTTACATAAATTAGATAGGCATAAGCTGTGTGTGGATTATTCTGACCTTTTGATCCTGCCCTAACAGTGAGCAGAGACTAAACCCTGTCAGCAACAGTTGGCTTGATGATACTCTAAACTTCTAACAGCCTATTTTTATGTTTGTGCAGAAAGTTGAAAGATATGGTATGCTCTCATATGCATGAGACAGACACACTTTCTTGGCAGAAATTTGATGTTGAGACTCCAGGCTGATTGAAGAAGGACTTTGATGCTTCCAGAGAGTAAATAGAAGAACCTTTTGAAGCCATTTTCACATCACCGTCTCCATCATACACATCTTGCCATTTACATCTTTGTTTTTTTGGCTTCAAACACTTTGCAGGAAGCATAAGAAACCTTTAATTTACGTCTCTAATCAACCCTTGAAATAACATTTTCTGTTCTTGGTTTTATGCTTTATCGATTGTCTCTCACTTGCAATTCATGCTGGAA